TAGTGTTATATAGAAATTAACAACGATAATTATAAGAAGGTAGTGTGCAAAATGTAATGAAATAGCTTATTTTCGTATTATCGAAAGATTGATTTTTGTTACAAGAAGTTGGTTTTTTGTATGACCGAGCTGGTTTTTATGCGAGACTTTAATGTTCGAAAAACATAAATTAATTCAGCTATTTATAGTAGCTTATTGCTCGACGTTCGAGGTGGGTACGACATCATTTAATGCAAAGTAGCTTTATGATGACGATTATGCTGCAGGTGGGTCCACAGGTTATGATTGAAGCACGTGCGACATGCGGTTTGGGAAGTTGGCACGTAGGCGCCTTTTCATCGTCACGCGCCTTGTCATCGTCGACTTTGACCTCGGTTTTGGAAATGGATCTCAGTCTCCCTTGGAAGTCGGTCACGATGGGACTAGGTCGGTTATTCGTTCGTTCTAAGCCGAGTTAACCCATTCCGAGTTCAAACCATGTTTAGCTTGCGTTTGATGATTAATCTTCTCCTTAGCGCCTTTAAGTGTGGCTGATCATGTCGGCTGCAAATGAACCGAGCAGCTGCGAGCTACTCGCAAGATGCTTGAGTCAAAGCTCGACTTGAGCTAGAGTTTGGCCGAACTCGAGTGGAGCTCGAATGGCTCGAGCACGAACTCGAGCCCATATTTGCATTGTCGAGTGGCTCGCCGAGCATCTTGAGATATGTGTTGAATTAAAATATTCCATGTATATATATTACAATAGTATAATATAGGTGCTTAGTGGTAATTTTATTTTTCCACTTAAAAATATTCGAGTCGAACTCGAACATTTTGATTTCGAGTCGAGCTCGAGCCATTGTACCTTTTTATCGAGTTGAGCTCGAAACTCGTAAATCAAGCTCGACGAGCTCGAGCTCGAGCTCGAGCAGTTAAAAAAAATTACTTCTGCTCGATAAAGCCAATACTCGATTCGACTCGACTCGTTTGCAGCCTTAAAAGGGTCGACTCGCTAAGTTTATTTATCTTTATCATTTCAAAGAATAATATTTCAATACAAAAATACACATATTTATTTGCAAATTATGATTGTCTAAAGGTTAGTTTCCCCAAGGCATGCATATCAATTATCAAATAAGATTCCCCATTATACATCTTAATATCCCCAAACCCTTCTCTCTCCAGTCTTCATCTCACACAAAAGCTAAGGACTCAAAAAAAAAAAAAAAAAAAAAAAAAAAAAAAAAAAAAAAAAAAAAAAAAAAGATTCTCCATTATGTATTTATATTTGATGATCATAATACAAAGTCGTTGCAAACCAAAATCAAATAGATGACTTAGAGTGCAATATAATCTAAGCCACTTTTCACTAACACTATTATTCATTTCAAAATTTCGGTTAGAGAAAATATTTTTATTATTCTCTCTTTCGGATAAGAAAAGGGATTTAATCATCAATCAATACTTTAAAAAGTCTTTGATCAGAATATTGTCTTGACCTTTGCTTTGGAGTGAAAAATAGTGGCCCGAGAATTATTACCCAACATCATAACAAATTGTCCAAGCCCATTTACTTTCAAGCCTACACGTGACATACAATTAGGGGCCCACATGTGCCTATTAATCATCGTCACCATTGTAGTATCCCACATCGATTGTGAAGGAGAACGAAGCATGTCTTATAAGTAGTAGTTGATACCTTCACTAGTAGGATTTCCATTTTCCAAAGATACAAATAAACATGGCCAAAACACATGCCGAGCTCGGGCCCGGCCCCGGCCTGGCAGGCCGACGAGTTGGGTTTCATGAACCCTGAAACGACACAAATCCAGGTGTTAAGGTTCCATGGCCCAGCGTGCCAGGCCCTGGTCTGGGCTCGCTCAAATAAAAAAAAAAAAAAGTTTAAAAAACAATGTGTTTTTTCGTGTCGGACTAGGATAGACAAAAACAAGACCTTGAACCAGCCTGCTTGAAATTTGAGTTAGGTCTGGACATGTGGTCAACGGGTTTGTATGGACAAATTGCAATAGATGACTTCGACAAATGGATTGTATTGACAAATTGCAAGTATTTGAGTGTTTTGATAAATAACTATTTATATAATTATTTAGTAGATTTAATGTTAAAATTGACGAATTGAATATCATTTAGAAGTTCGACATTCCAAATTAGCTTTACCAACTTCTTCTATTTTATTAGTTTTTATTATTAGCTCAAAGCGCTTTATGATAAATATTAATTCAATAAAAACAATGTTTTGGATAGAGAATAATCGTAAAATAGCACGACAAAATGATGTCTCCGAAATAATTACACAAACAATTATTTACAAAACGCTAATATACAAACAATTAATACAATCCACTAATCGAATCAATTGTTTGCCATCAACTAATAGCCAAATAAGCCATAAATATTTTGAATATATTTTCGAGACAAATATACATATAATTTTGTAATATTTATATAATCACACTTCATACAAAAATTATGTAAATAAATATGACACGATTTATGTCCCGTGAACTTAAAAATGCATATACATATATATTGGTGATCCAAATTAAATAGTGTTTGGAAACGAGTGAGAGAGTGAAATACATTGTGGGGTATAAATGAATGAATGAGGCCACAAGCTATCATGTGACAACACGATAAATTTTTCAATTCAAAATTTATTCAAAATTGAAAATCATGGATCTATTCTATAGTGTCGTTTCTTCAATTCAAAATTTTTCAAAATTGCAAAATAATAAAAATTTGAGAAATTAATATTATTGTGTATTTTATCTAGTTCGGTTAATAATTGATGTGAAACTAATCAAATTAGTTGTGTATGTTACATTATCTACATGTTACATTATGAGTGAGATGTAAACGAGTCGAGACGAATCCAACATTGATTTTATTGAGTTAAGAGTGACATTTTACATAAATGTTGTAGCATTCAGTTATTAATTTTTACACAAGTTTTGGTTTGAGTCGGTCAAACCATTAGACGAGTCAACATATATGTGAAATTTTCATACTTTAATTTATGTTTTTTTGTTAAAAAAAAAGATGATATTTCAATTTGAAAGTATGATTGTCTAACAATGTCCTATTATATTCTTATATTTAGGGTTACACGAATCAATTGAAATAGAATTGAACAACTCATCAAGCTCACGAGTCTACTTGCTAAAGGGGTGATTGTATATAAATGTTTTTGTTTCGATTGAATGTATTGGTAAAATGAGTTATAATTTTTTTGAAAAAAAAAAAAGCTTATTGAGCGAAGATTTAAGTGGATTTTCAATTTTTATCTAAATAAAATTTAAAATGTAATTATTGAAGTTGATGTAATGTAAAAATAGGAAACCTGTTATTGAAAATGATATATATTTAAAAATATATGAGTTGATAAATAGTGATAAAATTGACATGATGTATGAAGATGATTTATTGCTATTATTTAATGATGTATGAAGATGATTTATTGTTATTATTTAATTATATTGATAATATTAACGAAAGTTGAATTGATTAAATTTGAGTTGGGATTCTAAGTTAAAAATTTGT